TATTGTGGCAACGTTTCACTCTCCAGGAGCTTTATCAAGCCGTAACGGCTTGATAAAGCTCCTGAAGAGCGAAACGTTGCCACAATAAAATGTCACATTAGTTGCACTTGTGTCCTTTTACTTTACATATTGTCGGTAATTCTACCAACATTATTACAATCTATAGTAGTTCTGTTTACCTTGTAAAACAGTGTTTGTGTTTTTTTAAAAATCACATTTTTCCACTCATTATAGCATAAAATATAAGGTCAATGGAAAACAAGAGAGTCAAAATATAAGTTTATTTTGCTAACAAAAGGAAGATGAAAAATAAATATTCCTAATAAATACAACATAACAAATGAACTGCCTGCAGTTCTAGTCTAGCCAATGAAGATGAAGTCAAATCCTGTTAAAAGGCGCAGTACTTAACGAGTCAAGTTTTATCCCTAAGTGCTAGTTCCAGTAGCTAGCTCAGTACTAGTTGCTAAGTCAGGTTCAGTCAATGGGTAAGTCGAATTCAGTCGTCACGAGTCGGGTAGTCGCTATAAGGTACAGACAATTTTAGATAAATCTGCGAGATTCACTGGCTAGATGCAGTTGCCAGGCGAATAAAGATTAATCATCTTAGAATTCGGGTTTAGTCTTGTGTAAATCACTTCGTCTTCTTGCGAATAACCTTCAGTCTTTGGGTTATAGTCAACTTCAGAATTTAGAGGAGTCAGCTCCAACCTCCAGGTAAATCAAAGTGCACTCTAGAGTTAGGTGAGAGTCTTCTCTAATCTTCAACTGATGGAAGAGGGAACAGTTTTTAAGCAAGGCAAAACTGGGAGTCTCAAATCTTATGGCATCAAAACAATTGAGAAATGAGAATTAGGAAAGTTCTTCTGGTGATATGACCACAGTGAAGTCAGGTATAGCATCCAGGTCATCTTATCAGTCAATATTATTATAAGTTGGTTTTGTATAATCTTATAAATACCAGCTAAATCTAGTTCATTCACAAGAATCTTAACTGGTCATCTATATGATTAAGACCCATGTCGGGAGACACTTGTTCTGTCTCCTGACAAACATTATAACAACAGTCCAGTCACAGAGCTGGGTTTGAATGGTATATTAAGAGGCTAAGTCAGGCAGTCAATAGCCAGGATAGTGGGCATATTTATGACCTATATATGTCGCTTATATTGTCGATCTTGTTAACTATATTGCATCCTTGTAATTTTAGCTTTAGGGTCAATCATATATACATACAGTATTTTTTGTGCCTATACACTGCATTACTGTTATGGTACATAAAGTGCATAATTGGTATGTAAATGTTTAATAGTTTCCTATCAAATTGTTTAGTTTGTTGTTGTTAGTTATATACTCTGATTAAAAGTTAAGTATAGTGTTTAGTATTTTGTCTAGATTGATTGTTCAATCACCACTAAGCTATATTTATATTTTGAAGAGCTCATAAAATATTGTATGTCAAACAAAAAGTATTGAAAGGCCTCTCCTTGTGGGCTTAGCACTTAGTTATGATTATGATGAAAGGCTTCTAAGGTATGATTAGTAGCACTAGTATTGTTAGCTGTCCATAACCTATCTGCTATTTGTAAAGTATGGTAAGGCAGAAGCCTACTGGGTTAATTAGATTTTAAGTACAGTATATGCTGTCACTATGTCAGAATTTTTAATTGTCAAGTTAAATATGGCACTGGTAAGTGGTATCCATACCAAGGTTAAAGTTAAATGACAATTCAATTTTTTTTTTTGTGATATTAAATAGCTGTCAAGTCAATTGGCAACAACCTTTTTGTAGTTCTGCAAGGTTAACCATGCCAGTGTCAGTAAGATCAATAACAGGTCAGTAAGCAGTAGGACAAGTCATTGATGAGCCAAAAGTTACGTAAGATAAAGAATGTGTTCATTGTTACATAACATGAAAAATGTCCTTGCAAAGTCTTCTGTTGTGTTAAAATTTATGTATTTTAAGAAGAGGCAGCAATCTCAAGTCTTGCATCATGTTTGAAGAAATATAAATATCTATAAAAGAAGATTTGTTAAAGAATCATTAGAGTTTATGAACCAAATACAGTAAGTGAGCAAAAATTTGAGGTGGGTCAGTTATCAATGTTACAATTTTGAGGTCGTTAGTCCTATGTCAAAATTTTCTTCTTACTGTCATATCAATGTCGTGTAGCAAAGACTAGTAAGATGGAGACTAGAGCATGACACCAACAATTAACTTAAATTATTACGTACAGCAGTTGCTTTAAAATGGCCAAAAAAAATAGACTAACATTTATTATGTAAGAAAAGAATAAAGAGAAAATACTATCAAGAAACCTTTAGCATTTAAAACAAACAAAATAGTAAAAGCCTAACATTCCCCTCTTCTTAAAACTAAGAGAATCCATTCATTGAACTACTATTATACTTATATGAGCAGTTGCAAGAGTAGGGAGACTTGGAATACATTTAAGTCAAATTAGCTGTGGCAAAATGTGTCATATGTACAGAGTCGTGGGTTAAAATTAAGTCTTTGGCGGCGAGTCTACCCGTAGGTGTCACATGTATATGAGGGAGGGAAGAGGCTGGATGCCCTGCTTGCCAGGGCAAACCACTGGTTATGTCATGTCTGAGAGGAGGGAGGAGGCTGGACACTGCCTGCCAGGAGGAACCATTGGTTCTGTACAATGAACTGTATGATCCATACCGGTTTAGTGAATACGTGAACTAAGTTTACTTACAATGTTTTTTAAAGATAGCAAAAGATGATTGATATAACCAGCTTGTTTTTTTTTCACTGGCTAAAACAACGTACTAGCCTCCTTACCACACCTCTTGTTCAGTGTCCTTGAGCAACCTTAAAATATACAAGATTAAGGGAAAGAGCCTGAGTTTACACATACCGAGGTCCAGCCTCGAGAGACAATCTTGTCATATAAAAATAAATACACTATCTACAGTTTACGGATGAGTGAGAAGGGTGGCCAGTGAAAGCGTTGCTTGGGCGTCTGTGGCTGGTACATGTAGTTAATCTTAATTATAACAGTAAATGAAATTAGCTAGTCTAACGTCTGGAATAACACTTCAGTTAATGATACTTCACATAATCCCCTCAGATTTTGACCTAACTGTTAAAGCACTAAGAGTATTACTTGTTTGATTAATTAAAATTAAAATTTACATACCTGAAAGTACTGTAGCTAAAATGAATAATCTTGCAAATGGAAAGCTGCAAATCGCAAAGTGAATTTGGAACGTCAAGTTTTGTGAAATATTGTTACAAGTCTGGGAGATGTGAAGTGTTACAAGTCAACGGTATCACAGTTTTAAGTCTGGCCGAAAGTCTCAAACACTGCTTAAAGCACAGAATCAAGATGTCTATCCCATTTAAACTAACTGTTGCTGCACAGTTTACTGCCGGTGAAGTTTAGCGAGGGCAAATCTGGGGGGGGGGGGGGGGTTAAAATGGGCCCCGTATGGCAGTTGAATAAGTTTTAAATCTGGGTCAACTGGATGCTTGGTCCGGGGACTAAAACATATTTTGTCCTTTTTCTAAATTTAACAGAGTTGTGAAGGTCCGTCGGTTTCTTAGTACATAATTCTTGGTTGATGAATTTCGAAAGTTGCTCTATACTTTTTTAAGACTGAGGGGTTCTGTCCAGGAACTGGCAGTGAGAGTCTTAGCCCAATCAGCGATGCTCCAGGTAAATACCCCCTGTCTGTTCAGGCATTTTCTAAGTCACTGGTTTTTTCTATATATAATACAACCTGTCATTACACATCCCAAAAAGGGTGACTTTGGGCTGCCCTTTTAACGGGCCCCTGTGGGTTTTGCATTTTTTTTTTTTGAAAATTTAATAATCTGTCAATAAACAAATAAGGAAAAGGGTCAGAAAAAAAATTACACATACTGCCCCAAACCCTTTAAGGCCCTATAGTTACCCCAAAATTTATGTAGAGCCCTATGTGGTATTTACAAACAAAAAACCAGTGTTTCAAAAAAAGGGGACACGTTTTATCCACCTAAACAATAGAAAAACCAATTCTTACGGGCAGGAAAAATCAGGGGGAAAATTTGCACCCGGAGGGGGCAGTCGGGGTAAAGGACAAGCCTCATCTTTCCCTTTTTGCAACCTTCCCGGGGTCCTTATCGGCGTTAAAAATTTTCAGAAAATTCGATTTGGGGGTCACAGGTTATGTGTTCCCTTTTGGGGGGGGAGGTCTCTGGGCTGATGGTGGTGAGCACGGGAAAAAACATGTTGGGGTTTGCCAGCCCTCGAATTTTTCCGGAATAGCCGACCCAAGCCCCCCCCTTTCCGCGCCAGGAAGGTTTGGGGTTCGGGGAAAAATGACATTCAGCTTTTCTAAGAGCTTGCTTCAATATCATGGATGTTGTCCCGATAAAAATAATTTAATACAGGGCAAGGATGTGTTTTTTTAAATCAGTTTGTATGCCCCTTTTAGGGTTTGGGACTTAGTTTTGATTATAAAAATGTTTTTTTTTACCAAAAAAACTACAAAGATTTTCTTAGATTTTTAACCCTGGAGGGTTAGCTACCCAGGATAACCCAAGAAAATCATGCGTCATCGAGGACTAACTTATTTCTATTGGGTCCCTAATCTTGTTCCCCGGGATGCCGCCCCACACCAGTCAACTAACACTCAGGTACCCTTTTGCTGCTAGGTGAACAGGACAAAGGGTGTCAGGAAACGCGTCGAAATGTTTTCCACCTGCCGGGAATCGAACCCGGGCAGTCCGTGTGTGAAGCGGGAGCTTGACCCACCCAGGCCAGTATGTACTATATAGTATCAAATAATGCTGTATGACCCGGGTGGGTTTAGTTCTCGATTGTATTATTAGTATATTAATAAATAATCATGCTGTATGATCCTTGCGGTTCAGCGTTTAGTTATAATAATAATAAATAAATGTACAATAAGTTAACTTACAGATAGAGACATAGTAGAAGGCTCTCTGCATGAACGAGGCACCCTCATGTTCGCCAATGCGAGTGAGTTCACAGAAGAGCTTCGCTTGGCACTCCCGGAGGTGAGACCAGGAAGTCACTCTCCACTAAAGCATGTAGCAGGGGAAATTCTTCTGGGTTAAGACTGTCCTCCAGCAGATTATCATCACCAAGGCTTCGTCTATGATGGGGGAAAAATTAACAATTAAAAAATAACCACCCCTTCTCCTGATGGTGGTAATTATCATTACCAGAATTGTTATTTTTTATTCATGGAAAATGCTAAACCCATATGGGGTAATCAGGTTTGATCCAAGGAAGGGGAAGTTGCTTAAATTCCCTGGAACAAGAATCCTCCAGCTTCAAAGCACCACCTTGAAAGGTGACAGAGTTAAAGTGCTTCAGCAGACAATACTTACCTCCTAAGGGCAACAGTGAAGAGGCCAGTAGGGGTGGCTGAGACGAGGAGGCCGATAGGAATAGCTGACATAGCCACACCATACATCAAGTCTGTCATGGACCAGCTATTGTCATCTTCTTCATACCTGCAACACACAAACATATCATATTTATTTAATAAGTGACACTTACAGCCGTTATACATACAATTAAAGAGATTAAGAATTTTACTGGAGATGGGGATTATATTCTAAGAATAGATAACCAGAAAATTGTCACTATGGCAACTTCCGAGTTTGTCACCACCCATACCTGCTGCTTCAGACAGTACAAACACCACACACCATTACATTTTGTTCCATCTCTCATACAGGAGCAGTATCACAGATCTCTCACCTATCAGGACAAAATGGTTAAAGAAGAGCAGAACAAGAAAGAATAATAGCTGAAGCAAAATGCAGAAATTCTTCAGAATCATCTTCTGAGGAAAGGCAGAGCAAAGCAGTATGCCCCCTTGTAGGTTTAGCTCTTGGTTTTGATAAAATAATATAATAATAATAATAATAATTAAAATAATAAAAAATAATAATAATAATAATAATGGGGAAAGTAAAATTTTCTTCAGCCAATTTCGACTGACTCAGGTGATGCTGAGGGTGACTATTATAATCAAAATGAAAAAAAAAAATTTTCCGGCTCTCTCCTCTCAAAAAACGAAAACCCCAGCAATCAACAGAAGTTAAGGAGGGTATCATGGGGGGTAGGAACTCAAATAAGGCTTGAAGAAAGGATGCTAATTTAAAAGTGGAGGAAATAAAAATTATCCACAGGAAAAAATGAAAATTATCAACAATTAAAGATAATGCTCAAAATTTTGATTAAGTCACTAATAGTAAAAGCAAGAAAGAAAAAGAAAAATAAGAAAAAGTATGTTAGATGTTAGTGAAGAGTATGAGGATAACCTAATATCAAACTTGAAAGGTCAGGAGGTTCTGCAACTTCTGCACGAGTGAAGATTATTCAAACTGATGCAGCCTCCACACATAATGACAGTATATCTGTTGATCAAGAGTTTGGGGAATCTTATCTAATTGAAGAAGATGAATTGGATGTCAGTGACGGTGTCGTTGAAGATGAAGTTGCAAATGAAACAGGCAGTGCGAGACATCAAAATCAACAAAAAGAAAAATAACAAGCTGCAGCAATGACTAAATCCAGCTTTAAAAAATGTTTATGAATCAGGAAACAGATGATGAAAGGAAAGGAGAAAATTTAAGAACTTCAACAAATGGCTAACAATATCAAAGATGGACATTTTAAACAGTGCAAGAGGTTAAGGAGTGGATAAAGAAGCTTCAAAATAAGGATGTTCATCATATGGATGAAGATCTTGAAGAGGAGGAGCAAAGATTAGGGCCAGCACTTTTATCTCTGATGAATGTTCTAGATGAGGCTAAAGACAAGTTGTCTATAGCTAAAAAGCAGATGAAAACACTTGAAGAATTTCTTGACAGTCAGCTCAAAGAAATGGAAAGTTACCATTTTGTTTAACGAATCACGAAGATTCATTAAAGGAAAGCCCACCAACAGTTGAAAGTTTGAAGCCGATCTGGAAAATGTCAAACTTGTATATACAAAATGTGTATGTATGTATTAGTTACCATTTTGTCAAAGGCACTTTTCGATAAAACACTTGGCCTGCTCGGTGTATTATATTATATATATTATATATATATATATATAATATATATATATATATATATATATATATATATATATATATATATATATATATATATATATATATATATATATATATAATATATATATATATATATATATATATATATATATATATTTTTCAACAAGTCGGCCGTCTCCCACCGAGGCAGGGTGCCCCAAAAAAGAAAGAAAATCCCCAAAAAGAAAATACTTTCATCATCATTCAACACTTTCACCACACTCGCACATTATCACTGTTTTTGCAGAGGTGCTCAGAATACAACAGTCTAGAAGCATACACATATAAAGATACACAACATATCCCTCCAAACTGCCAATATATATATATATATATAAATGTGTGTGTGTGTGTGTGTGTGTGTGTGGAAAATACTGTATATTTTCTGGAAATACGGTAATTTATAGGTAAATAGATGCCCTATATTGTATTTTTAAAAGAAGTATGTTATCGAAAATGGGAAACTGGACCTGCGTCTGCGCAGACAGGACTCGCCATCTTGGTTTTGAATTTGTACAAACGTTGGTGTAATGGGAAGAATTTTTCGTGCTCTAGAGGTTAAAATTGTGTTGACACCTCTCAAATAGGAGGCGAAATTGGTGGATGTGCATTCCTGCATACCTTGAGATACCTGGAGTTTACCTGGAGTTCCGGGGGTCAACGCCCCTGCGGCCCGGTCTGTGACCAGGCCTCCTGGTGGATTAGAGCCTGATCAACCAGACTGTTGCTGCTGGCTGCACGCAAACCAATGTATGAGCCACAGCCCGGCTGGTCAGGAACCGACTTTAGGTGCTTGTCCAGTGCCAGCTTGAAGACTGCCAGGGGTCTGTTGGTAATCCCCCTTATGTATGCTGGGAGGCAGTTGAACAGTCTCGGGCCTCTGACACTTATTGTATGGTCTCTTAACGTGCTAGTGACACCCCTGCTCTTCATTGGGGGGATGTTGCATCGTCTGCCAAGTCTTTTACTTTCGTAGTGAGTGATTTTCGTGTGCAAGTTCGGTACTAGTCCCTCTAGGATTTTCCAGGTGTATAAACATGTATCTCTCCCCCTGCGTTCCAGGGAATACAGGTTTAGAAACCTCAAGCGCTCCCAGTAATTGAGGTGTTTTATCTCCGTTATGTGCGCCGTGAAGGTTCTCTGTACATTTTCTAGGTCAGCAATTTCACCTGTCTTGAAAGGTGCTGTTAGTGTGCAGCAATATTCCAGCCTGGATAGAACAAGTGACCTGAAGAGTGTCATCATGGGCTTGGCCTCCCTAGTTTTGAAGGTTCTCATTATCCATCCTGTCATTTTTCTAGCAGATGTGATTGATACAATGTTATGGTCCTTGAAGGTGAGATCCTCCGACATGATCACTCCCAGGTCTTTGACGTTGGTGTTTCGCTCTATTTTGTGGCCAGAATTTGTTTGTACTCTGATGAAGAATTAATTTCCTCGTGTTTACCATATCTGAGTAATTGAAATTTCTCATCGTTGAACTTCATATTGTTTTCTGCAGCCCACTGAAAGATTTGGTTGATGTCCGCCTGGAGCCTTGCAGTGTCTGCAATGGAAGACACTGTCATGCAAATTCGGGTGCCATCTGCAAAGAAAGACACGGTGCTGTGGCTGACATCCTTGTCTATGTCGGATATGAGGATGAGGAACAAGATGGGAGCGAGTACTGTGCCTTGTGGAACAGAGCTTTTCACCGTAGCTGCCTCGGACTTTACTCTGTTGACGACTACTCTGTGTTCTGTTAGTGAGGAAATTATAGATCCATCGACCGACTTTTCCTGTTATTCCTTTAGCACGCATTTTGTGCGCTATTACGCCATGGTCACACTTGTCGAAGGCTTTTGCAAAGTCTGTATATATTACATCTGCATTCTTTTTGTCTTCTAGTGCATTTAGGACCTTGTCGTAGTGATCCAATAGTTGAGACAGACAGGAGCGACCTGTTCTAAACCCATGTTGCCCTGGTTTGTGTAATGATGGGTTTCTAGATGGGTGGTGATCTTGCTTCTTAGGACCCTTTCAAAGATTTTTATGATATGAGATGTTAGTGCTATCGGTCTGTAGTTCTTTGCTGTTGCTTTACTGCCCGTTTGTGGAGTGGGGCTATGTCTGTTGTTTTTAGTAACTGTGGGACGACCCCCGTGTCCATGCTCCCTCTCCATAGGATGGAAAGGCTCGTGATAGGGGCTTCTTGCAGTTCTTGATAACACGGAGTTCCATGAGTCTGGCCCTGGGGCAGAGTGCATGGGCATGTCATTTATCGCCTGTTTGAAGTCATTTGGCATCAGGATAACATCGGATAGGCTTGTGTTAACCAAATTTTGTGGTTCTCTCATAAAAATTCATTTTGATCTTCGACTCTCAGTCTGGTTGCGGCTTGCTAAAAACTGAGTCATATTGGGACTTGAGTAGCTCACATCATTTCCTTGCTGTCATCTGTGTAGGACCCATCTTGTTTAAGTAGGGGGCCAATACTGGACGTTGTTCTCGACTTCGATTTGGCATAGGAGAAGAAATACTTTGGGTTCTTTCGATTTCATTTATGGCTTTTAGTTCTTCCCGCGATTCCTGACTCCTATAAGATTCCTTTAGCTTAAGTTCGATGCTTGCTATTTCTCTGACCAGTGTCTCCCTACGCATTTCAGATATATTGACCTCTTTAGCCGCTCTGTTATTCTTTTCCGTCGCCTGTAAAGGGAGCGCCTGTCTCTTTCTATTTACATCTACTCCTCCTTTTTCTTAGAGGAATAAGCCTTGTGCATACATCGAGTGCCACCAAGTTAATCTGTTCTAGGCATAAGTTGGGGTCTGTGTTGCTTAGTATATCTTCCCAGCTTATATCGGTTAGGACTTGGTTTACTTGGTCCCACTTTATGTTTTTGTTATTGAAGTTGAATTTGGTGAATGCTCCTCGTGACTAGTTCTATTATGTCGGTCTGGGGCTCCACACATACATGTCTGAACCTCAATTATGTTGTGATTGAGTATATTGTTTTTGATATGGTGACATTTCTATCAGATCATCATTGTTAGCGAAGATGAGGTCTAGTGTATTCTCCAGTCTAGTAGGCTCTATTATTTGCTGGTTTAAATTGAATTTTGTGCAGAGATTTAAAAGCTCGTGTGAGTGTGAGTTTTCATCAGAGCTGCCTCCTGGTGTTATTACTGCAACAATATTATTTGCTATATTCCTCCATTTTAGGTGCCTTAAGTTGAAATCCCCCAGGAACAAGATGTTGGGTGCAGGAGCTGGAAGTTTTTCCAGACAGTGGTCAATTTTTAACAGCTGTTCCTGGAATTGCTGGGATGTTGCATCCGGAGGCTTGTAGACTACCACAATGACTAGGTTTTGGTTCTCGACCTTTACTGCTAAAACTTCCACTATATCATTTGAGGCATTAAGCAGTTCTGTGCAAACAAGTGACTCTGCAATGTACAGGCCAACCTCCCCCCCCCCCCTTTTGCCTGTTCACTCTGTCACATCTGTATAGGTTGTAACCTGGGATCCATATTTCGTTGTCCAAGTGATCCTTTATGTGGGTCTCAGTGAAAGCCGCGAACATTGCCTTTGCCTCTGCAAGCAGTCCATGGATGAAAGGTATTTTGTTGTTTGTTGCTGGCTTTAGACCCTGGACAAGACAGCTCCAGGAACCTCAGATAAGCTCTCTAGATTTGTGTAATTCTGGCCGGTGTTTTCATAAATTTAATTAGTGAGGTTTTTCTGAGTATGATACAACTTAATATCCAGTCAAATTGGTGAGTGATATTAAGATATATTTTCCTTCTGTTATGTAATTGTGTATATATATAACCATTTATTATTTTTAATATACAGTCCACAAATTTATATATTTACCAGTATTCCTGGTGTATGTATATTTCATTTAATTAATAGGTCCAGAGCAACTTGTGGTTATGACAGTGGTAGGTATCGAAGGGGGACATTTTTTGCGACCTAGATGTCCCAAATTCCTACTTGTCTATGTAACATTGATAAATAATAATTATCTTTGTTATCATTTACTGTTATGTACATAATTAGTTACATTCAGATAAATGCAATATTCCACATATTATATATATATATATATATATATATATATATATAATATATATATATATATATATATATATATATTTCCAACAAGTCGGCTGTCTCCCACCGAGGCAGGGTGACCCAAAAAAGGAAGAAAATTCCCAAAAAGAAAATACTTTCACCACACTCGCACATTATCACTGTTTTTGCAGAGGTGCTCAGAATACAACAGTTTAGAAGCATACACATATAAAGATACACAACATATCCCTCCAAACTGCCAATATCCCAAACCCCTCCTTTAAAGTGCAGGCATTGTACTTCCCATTTCCAGGACTCAAGTCCGACTATATGAAAATAACCGGTTTCCCTGAATCCCTTCACTAAATATTACCCTGCTCACACTCCAACAGATCGTCAGGTCCCAAGTACCATTCGTTCTCCATTCACTCCTATCTAACACGCTCACGCAGGCTTGCTGGAAGTCCAAGCCCCTTGCCCACAAAAACTCTTTACCCCCTCTCTCCAACCCTTTCGAGGACGACCCTACCCCGCCTTCCTTCCCTATAGATTTATATGCTTTCCATGTCATTCTACTTTGATCCATTCTAAATGACCAAAACCCTCAACAACCCCTCTTCTGCCCTCTGACTAATACTTTTATTAACTCCACACCTTTTCCTAATTTCCACACTCCGAATTTTCTGCATAATATTTACACCACACATTGCCCTTAAACAGGACATCTCCACTGCCTCCAACCGTCTCCTCCGCTGCTGCATTTACCACCAAGCTTCACACCCATATAAGAGTGTTGGTACTACTATACTTTCTACATTCCTTCTTTGCCTCCATAGATAACGTTTTTTTGACTCCACATATACCTCAACGCACCACTCACCTTTTTTTCCCTCATCAATTCTATGATTAACCTCATCCTTCATAATATCCATCCGCCGACACGTCAACTCCCAGTATCTGAAAATATTCACTTCTTCCATACTCCTCCCCAATTTGATATCCAATTTTTCTTTAGCTAAATCATTTGACACCCTCATCACCTTACTCTTTTCTATGTTCACTTTCAACTTTCTACCTTTACACACATTCCCAAACTCATCCACTAACCTTTGCATTTTTCTTTAGAATCTCCCATAAGCACAGTATCATCAGCAAAAAGTAACTGTCAATTCCCGTTCTGAATTTGATTCCCCAAAATTTAATCCCACCCCTCTCCCGAACACCCTAGCATTTACTTCCTTTACAACCCCATCTATAAATATATTAAACAACCATGGTGACATTACACATCCCTGTCTAAGACCTATTTTACGGGAAGTAGTCTCCCTCTCTTCTACACACCCTAACCTGAGCCTCACTATCCTCATAAAAACTCTTTACAGCATTTAATAACTTACCACCTATTCCATATACTTGCAACATTTGCCACATTGCTCCTCTATCCATTCTATCATATGCCTTTTCTAAATCCATAAATGCAATAAAAACTTCCCTACCTTTATCTAAATACTGTTCACATATATGCTTCAATTTAAACACTTGATCTACACATCCCCTACCCACTCTGAAACTCCTTGCTCATCCGCAATCCTACATTCTGTCTTACCTCTAATTCTTTCAATTATAACCTACCGTACACCTTTTCCTGATATATCAGTAAACTTATTCCTCTATAATTTTTACAGTCTCTTTTGTCCCCTTTCCCTTTATATAAAGGGACTATACATGCTCTCCGCCAATCCCTAGGTACCTTCCCCTCTTTCATACATTTATTAAACAAAAGTACCAACCACTCCAACACTATATCCCCCCCCTGCTTTTAACATTTCTGTCATGATCCCATCAGTTCCAGTGCTTTACCCCTTTCATTCTACGTAATGCCTCACGTACCTCCACCACACTTACATTCTGCTCTTCTTCACTCCTGAAAGATGGTATACCTCCCTGACCAGTGCAAGAAATTACTGCCTCTTCTTTCTTCCTTAACATTTAAAAGTTCCTCAAAATATTCTCGCCATCTACCTAATACCTCCATCTCCCCATCTACTACCTCCCTACTCTGTTTTTAACTGACAAATCCATACTTTCCCTAGGCTTTCTTAACTTGTTTAACTCACTCCAAAATTTTTTCTTATTTGCATTAAAATTTCTTGACAGTGCTTCTCTCTCTCACCACTCTCTTCACCTTTCTTTTACTGTCCATATACTCTGCTTTTCTTATAACACTTCTGCTTTGTAAAAACCTCTCATAAGCTACCTTTTTCTCTTTTATCACACCTTTACTTCATCATTCCACCAATCACTCCTCTTTCCTCCTGCCCCTCCCTCCTATAACCAAAACTTCTGCCCACATTCTAATACTGCATTTTAAAACTATTCAACCCTCTTCGACCCCCCCACTACTCATTTTGCCTAGCCACCGTTTCTGCCAATAGTTGTTTATATCTCACCCGAACTTCTCCTCCTTTAGTTTAATACAGTTTCACTCCCTCTTACTTGTTTGCCACCTTCTCTATTCCATAACCTCTTACTCTAATGTCTACAACTAAATAATGATCCGATATAATCAGTTGCCCTCTTTAAAATGTACATCCTGGGCTCCTTCAACTTTTTAATCCCAATACATAATCTAAAAAACTACTTCTTACGGGGCTACATCCATACTTGTATATTTATTTATCCTCTTTTTCATAAAATGTATTATTATTTCAAATCTCTGTCTACACATAGCTCAATAAAGGTCCCCATTTACATTACCCTGGTCACCCAAATTTCTACTATTCTCCTCCATAAACATTTTTACCCACTTTAGCATTGAAACCCAACCAACATTACTACACACTGTGATTCAAAACTCCCACGCATTCATCAAAATTTCCCAAATCTCTCTTCTACCTCTAAACACTTCTCTCTTTTTCCAGGTGCATACATGCTTATTAGGACCACTTTTCACACATTTACTTTACTCCAATAAACCTTGAATTAATACATTCATAGTCCTCTTTTCCTGCCATACTTATCCTTCAACATTACTGCTACTACTTCCTGCTCTAACTCTATTTGAAACCCATGAACTAATCCCATTTAATCCTCTCCTGAAAACTCTCCCACCCCTTGTCAGCTTTGTTTCACTTAAAGCCGGAATCGTTCTTCCTTCATAACATCCACAATCATCTCTTTCTTATCATCTGCACAACATCCACGCACATTTCAGACTTCCCACTTTGACAATTGTCTCTTTTATTCTTTTTAGAAATCTTTACAGGAAAAGGGTTACTAGCCATTGTTCCGGCATTTTAGTTGACTTTACAACACGTCGATGCTTACGAGGAAAGAGTTATTCCACTTCCCCATGATAAAAGGGAAAAGTAATAAGACCAAGAACTATTAAGATAAATCAAAGATAAACTCAGGATGGCGGTATAACTAAATGTGTACATGTATGTGTAGTGTGGACCAAGTGTAAGTAGAAGTAGCAATATCATACCTGTAATCTTGCATATTATGAGGACAGACAAAGACATCAGCAATCTACCATGATAGTAAAACAATCACAGTTATTGCTTTTGACACTCACTTGGCAGGACGGTAGTACCTGTGGGTGTTTGCTGTATACCAACTACTACCTATAATTATATATTTATTATATATATATTATATATGTGATATTATATATATATATATATATATATAAGAATAATAATTGAAGTTAGAACACCGAGGCACAACTCTTTTTCTGTAGCTACAAACAAAAAGAAAGGATAAACACACTGACTTGTCATCACGGGCAGGATGGCCGAAGTGTTGAGGAGCAATTTGCACGGGAGAGTAGCTACTATATGAAGACTGTTGACCACCTGCAGAGGGAGACACATAGCCCACAGCAGGTATTCCATAGCCCACCTGACTGGAGGCGCTGGGGGGATAGTAGTAGGTATATTCGTAATCATACTCACTCTCGTCATCATAGTCAAAACCCATCCATTCCATAATTGTCTTGCCCCACTCTGAGAAAGTCCGTCCTGTAATGGTGTGATAAAAACCAAAGTTATGAATTGGTGTAGAATACTATATGTAGACAAATAACCTGCACATAAGAGAGACAAGCGTATAAAGACGTTTCGGTCCGAATTGGACCATTTACAAGTCACACTAACACAAAAATGTGAGGGAGTCTGTCATATCAATTTAACTAGTTCTACCTTCTGTAATAAGCTCACACACATAATAGATAACCTCTAAAAAACCATACCACGTGTGGAAAATACTGTATATATTTTCCGGAAATACGGTAATTTATAGGTAAATAGATGGCCTATACTGTATTTAATAATATTTTGAATTTTGTACAAACGGTGTAATGGGAAGAATTTTTCGTGTTCTAGAGGTTAAAATTGTGTTGACACCTCTCAAATAGGAGGCGAAATTGGTGGATGTGCATTCCTGCATAACTTGAGATATCAGACAAGCTCTCTAGATTTGTATGTAATTCTGGCCAGCATTATTTTCATAGATTTAGTTAGAGTGAGGTTTTCTGAGTATGGTACACATTAATCTCCAGTCAAATTGGCGAGTGATATTAAGATATATTTTCTTTGTTATGTAATTGTGTATATATATAACCATTTATTATTTTTAATATACAGTCCACAAATTTATATATTTACCAGTATTCCTGGTGTATGTATATTTCATTTAATTAATAGATCCAGAGCAACTTGTGGTTATGACAGTGGTAGGTATCGAAGGGGGACATTTTTTGCGACCTAGATGTCCCAAATTCTTACTTGTCTATGTAACATTGATAAATAATAATTATATTTGTTATCATTTACTGTTATGTTCATAATTAGTTACATTTAGATAAATGCAATTTTCCACACCACGGGTGGGGTTTGAACCCGCGGTCAGAGTCTCTATGATTACCATCACTTCTTACACACATTAAATTCTACTTATATCAAGGCTAATAATTAAAATATTACAACTATTTGACAGAGCCCTATGAAACGTATAAAAAATGAAATATGTACTACAATATTCGTAAACTGCAAATTGAAGCTGACCCCAGTTAAATGTTATTACTAGACTCGTTTCGTTCACTGTATAATCAGTATACCCTAAGCCTGGTCCTCCCCCTACCTTAATATACGTAACAAGAATATTCCAGGGAAGTCATTAAATTCTAATATATAAAAATACGTATGCATGTACGTATGAGTGCGTATGTATGCATGTGCATATGTATGAGTGCGTATGTATGCACGTACGGATGAATACATGCTCATTTGTAAGCTTGCATGCGTGCACATGTTCGTGCTGATGTACGTATGTGTGCACGTGTGTATGTATGGATGTAAGGTTAACAGCCGTGAGCATCCCTTTCTTGGCAAGATAAAAGCTTGTGTAAGATAATGCCACCCCTATGAAACAAAATTAAATATGTATTTCCTACCAATTAAACTACACTTATGTTCTGTGGTACTCAGCCTAACATTATGGTACTAATATTCTGACAAAATGATACCTAACATTACCCAACCTGTCCCCGTAATAACAACGTCCGTTTTCTAACTTATTTCAGTATATGCTTCAGCACGACCTATTCAACCATCATTGTTTAACCGTAAATATGTAAGTAAATTTATTCAGGTATACACAGCTATATAGATTAACATACATAGCAGCACATGTGTAGAGAACCTAAGATAACCCAAAAGTCGAAGTGACAGCTGTATTTATGGCTTCATAACAAAATGCCTAGAAAGTTTGACTCATGATAGATAAACCAGCATGGGTGTATACATCGAAAAGTGTATGTATTTTTCAGTGTACATATAATGAGTTTACTTTCATACCTGTTTCAGGGATTAAAATATTTTTGATTGGTTGGAAATGTTATGCAGACTTACTGACCCTCGTGTAGTTGATAGGCTTTAAAACCCAATACACCGAGTAACTAAGCATAAACCAACCTGTAGCTGGGGAACTGTCGAGCGAGGTATCTTCACCACTGGCCATAACCTCTACCACGTCGAGGTCATCATCCTTGTCGTCGACTACAGCCGCTGCCTGGCACGCCACCGCCCCCACCACTGCTATCACCACCACACACAACACCTGCATCTGTACCACAAACCAACATTAACATTTATCACCCAAGATTAACACTAGTTTACACCTGTAATTCATGAAGTGCTAAACCCATGTAGGTCACTCAGCTCAAGGAGTGGAGGCTGGCTCTAACAAACGCGGTCTCTGACCTACTGAAGTGCTAAACCCATATGAATCATTCCCCGCAGGCAGTAAATGACTCCGTTAGGAGAAATTTTTAAGTTTCTCCTACCCAGTAAAATACCCTCCTTCCCCTTCCCTTAGTTTTAGATATTGTATAAAAAAGTACTGTTAATCAAAATGAATTTGCAATAAGCACTAGTAAATAACACAAATGAACTCACATGGATATAAAACAAAACAAAATGAGCACTATATTTCATCCTCACACTGAGGCCTACTTCACTAAACTGAAAACGGCATCAGTATAAAGCCGAAATATATAATAGTAATCTCCATGTGGGTTCCTTTGTGGAAACTACAGTTCAGTATTCACTGAGATTGCATAAGTATTGCATCTGAGAAAGTCTCTGGTGTCATATAGTGATAAAATAAACTAATTTCTTAGTGAACTTTGCCCGAAATGCCCAGACATGATAGTGGCTTTATTTGTACTTAACAACTCAAAATTGTAATTACACATTATAACTTTTGCAAAGAAATAAAATCTTTAATCTTTTAGCGCAAAGCTTTGTAACCACATGTGAGTGAAATATGAATGGAAACGCTGTAAACTTGTACAATGTATTTCATGAACATTCATTTCTTCATTGATTTAATTAGCATCCGATAACACGCTAAATACAATATGTAAACCAATGAGATTATACTTCTTTTGAATAAAGGTTCAGTAGAATCAAAATGTAATTACTGAGATAAATGGAAACTAACGTTATAACTGGTATTCTGGAGTATGTCAGTGTATACTCAAAAAGGTATCCCTCACCGTAAATACACTTAAAATTTACTTTAATTCGTAACTTAGGGATTAAAATGCCAATGATAGTGTCTGTGTTCAATACGGCCTTTGAGATTCCATGATACTGGAAAGGCCTGAGAGTCCATGACACTGGAAAGGCTTTTGAGATTCACTGGAAAGGGGCTTTTCGTGAAAGGAATTGGACCTGACCTCGCCTTCCTTGGACTGAATCTATTGCCTCTCATTCCCCAGGGGATGTGACCCCTACGGTTTAGCGCTCCCTCATGAATGTAGTAGCAGTAATAAATTATAGCAATAATAATAAGATCTAACAAATCATTCAAGTAACAATAGGGATATACATACACCAAAGTTTTTGTGCAATTTAACGTAGCTTAGTGTGCTCATCAAATGTTAGGGATAGAAGCTCCACTGACGATTAAGAAGATAGTACTTGTATTGTGATCTTGCATCCTCAAAATATGTGACTGGAGTTATTCTCCCTTCCGGATCAAACCTGATTGCCTCCAATTTACAACGCGTATTACCCGTTAAGGATTTAGGTTTCCCCCGTCAAAATAATTTACGATTTTCAAAGATAAGCTTCACTATCTTGCAATTAACAGACCCTAAGTTAACTTGAGGAAAACGCTCCTATAAGAAGTGCTGATAATAATCAAATAATCAGTTACGGCAAGCAAAACCTAACCTCTTACATGGAGTTCACTTATTGCTTTCAGATTAGATTCATGGGAACGCGTTAAACCCATAAGGATTATAGCGCCTGGGGAATGGAAGACAATAAGGTATGATCCATGGAAGGGAAGGGAAGGGATAAATTCAATTCCTCGAAGGGATTACATTCAAATAAAGAACGATATTTATATAAATCTATAGGTAGAAACTTCAAGATACAACAAAATATTACCTCATAATGCTGCGTTTCATATTGTAATTGAGTTTTACGCGTATATCGAGTTATATGAGTGCAATCATGAAAATACATGCGACTGTGACGAATATGACGCCCCCTTTTTCTTTATTTTCGCCTACCACTCTTTTCTCGGATTGCCTGCCTTACCGTGTGGTCCTAACGACCAGGTTTAGTGTCGTAATGACGACTAGGTATGGCGAAGTCATGACCGACAGGTCTTCCCATGGCCTTTAATGGCCAGATATATCTTGATTGGGTAGAGTGCGGTTTTCTCCGCTCGTTGTGGGCTTGACCCGGTCTTGTATAATCTAATAGACCAGGTCTGTTGTGGTCTTCAGTATCTGTCTGGTTTAGCCTTGACGATCAGGTCTGGAGTGAACTGAATAATTAGATCTGGTGATTGATTTGAGCAGGTCGCGTGTGCTATCATGTCTGATTCAACTCAAGAAAATCCTGGATCCTAATCGATTTTTAAATCTGAGAGTGACATGCTTAATATTACTGCTCTCTCAAATATACACAATTCTGTTCCTAAAAGCACTGCAATTGTCATTATACCCCAACAGTTATTAATTTGGCTTTCTGATCAGCCAGACTGTGGTGCCCATACTGTAGTGTTGCACGACAAGTTTTGCCCACAAATAAAAAAAAAAAACAGGGACAATATGCAGAGCAAGGGTTTATTTAAAGACGCTCTACTTAAAGAGAAAAATGTATAAATAAATGTTTAGACTGCAAGCTAGTACCATCAGCCTGATTGATCAGGCTATTATCCAGGCCTGATATAGTCCGGGACGATAACCCCAGGAATCGACTAAACAGGTAATTACATGACTCAAAAAAATGGTCACATTCAAAATATTATTTAAATGAACTTTAAATACTCTTATTTCTATCATCAGAGGAGGAAGACCCTCCAGTGTGGTCTTAAAGATCATACTGGACAACCAGCTAAAAGCTTAAAAGTTAGCTGTCGATGAACACGTAAATCTACCCAAGCCAACTGTATGTCATCCCAATCATAGACATGATTTACTCAGAGATGGAAGTTAATGACCCTAGAAGCGTTATATAACTAGGTTACAAGTTTCACCAGCAGGCATAAAGTAGGTCGCTCTTGTTACTCCAACACTGAGGTATTGATCCAGTTGGACATATTGTCACCGCTCACAAATTTTCTTAGATAAGACATGCATTTCAAACTAGAATGGAATCGTGGAAATTCGAGTCCCAAACAAAATAGTCCTTCCAGGATCCCAGCACTGACACTCTTGCAACTTACTCTGTAACACTTCAGTTTCTAACTGCCTGTGCTTCACTCGTCTTGGTATATAACACGACAGGATTATATTCACTAGTGACGCTGTTCCTGGCTCCCCCTCTGTTTAATACCTCCTCATGCTCGCTCAGGGGCCCCGCCACTTACTTCATGCTCGCTCAGGGGCTTTCACTTGCCCCCAAACAAAAAAAAAAATGATGATCCAGGAAGAACACATGCATATCTGTGTCAACCACCCGGCCACCGCCGGTGAAAATCGACTCTGAACAGGTAAAACGCTGCACAATTGTCTAATGGTACGATGAAGATTTACTAAATTAAAATAAATTAATGCATTTATGAAGTACTGCCTTAGAGCAACATATCTGCCACTCTGGGGACTGTGATCAGCTTTGCATTTTAACCTGTTGATCGAGGCTACGAGGTCAGTGTGTTGCGTTAGCCACCATGTTGTGGGTTTGACGGGGCAGGTATTTCATGTAGCTTTACAAGTTTTTACATATTGTGTCATGTTTTTTTTTTAGAAATAGTCGAAGAGGGGTCTCACTATTGCTATGATTCGCAACATTGATTCGTTTTTCTTGCATTCTACCAGCTTATACTCTTCTCGTATTACTTTTTTTCAGTTGACTAGTAAAAAATGTGATTCAGGCAGACGCGGAGGTACAGAGGATGTCTCCCTATAATTGTGGGAAGACTATGAAAGTTAATTATACTGTTTCCTGATGTCTGTTGCTAGTGTGTCATGGGGGCAACACCATGATAACACTTGGCAACTCTATATAACCTGTCACAGAGTTTACATGGTACATGACGCGATAACTGATCAATATTCAGCTGGCTAGATGTGACTGACCTAGCCACACCACAGTGAAATATTTATTGATCGTTAAAATAAATTTCATAGAAAATGAATATGATAATGATAAACTATACCAACAAGTTGATAAGACACACGTATAACAGCTAGGTATCTTTATTCTGAAACGTTTCGCCTACACATTAGGCGTCTTCAGGTTCAGTCAAGTACAGAGGAGGCAGCAGGAACAGTAGAGATGTAAAGATGTAATCAGGGATGATGGACTGACTACGTCGTCTTTATATCTCTACTGCTTCTGCTTAGCCTCGTCTGTATTCACATGTGTCTTACTTATCAACTCATAGACGATGACACATAAAACCTAGGTGTTTTAACGTGGCTGTCAAAAGGCGACTGTTGCAATGTTCACATGTATGTTGAACGTTATACCTCAAGGGGCGGGCACGTCGCCTGTGGGCGACCTGCACAAGGTCATGCGACTACAACTGGAGATTAAGAAGATATTCTTTTCCGTACTGTATATCCAGCGAGGCGTCTTTCGTTTCCATGCTCTATAATAATTATATAAATATACTGGTACTTCCTCTTTATTTATATGACTATAAACTCATCCATACTGACACCCTCTCGCCCACACTAGTCCATACTGACAGCACTCTCTTGCACACACATTGGAAGTTGAAAACTCAGATGAGTTAGGGGGATGTTAGGAAGTATTTCTTTAGCCTAAGAGTTGTCAGGAAGTGAAACAATCTGGAGAGTGAAATGGTAAAGGTGGGATCCATATATAGCTTTAAGAAGAGGTACGACAAGGATCTTGTAGCCAGAAGAATGAACCTAGTAACGATCAACGAAGAGGTGGGGCCAGGAGCTTTGAATCGACTCCCACAACCACCATACTACCTCACACACCATAGTCACAGCTCTACACATGCACACCACCATACTGACACTTCTCACACGCATCAATATACTGACACCCTTCTCACACGTATCAATATACTGATACCCACCTGACACACTACCATCCTGACACACCTCTCACTCATCTACGCACTCAGTACTGGTACCACTCTCCCGGAGCTAGAGAAATGATCTGTTCTTGCACTATAGAAAGTAGCATCATAATTAACTGCCAGTCTCATACAATAGAGAGTCAAGGTAATATCCCCAACAAAAACAGAGACAGCCCTGTAACAAATTTGAACCATATCTTCTGGTATTTAGAACTCTAGTGATGACTAACGTCTCTTTCTCTTAATTTATATGTGCAGTCTTTCATTAAGCAACTTCTTAGCTGTTAAGAGCATTAATATCTGTTATATTCTCAAGTATTGTTAACATATAGCGAATTTACTGGTAAAGAAAATCTTCAAAAACATACCCGTATATAGACATTCTTCTCATTTTTAGTTAATTGTGTCACATATTTTCTCTTTCAACACTTCAAATTAACAAATACATTTAGAACACAAGTTATTATACCGCTGGAGCAATTCGCGAATAACTCACAATTTGGATATAAATTTTTTGACTAAGTTTGAGTCCATCCTGGAACATTATCATGTCGGCTTGATGAGATAGCGCTTCCCCATGAATATACAATAACAATGAACATAATGCAACAGGTGAATGTAGTGAACACCTTGCCAGCTTTCACTTAAGCAATGTGAAAGACGTTTTTGCAGTGTTGCAGACTTTAAAACTTGCTGCTTAGTGTTGCACTTATATGTACTTGCTGCTCAGTGTTGCAGACTTATGTACTTGCTGCACAGTTAGTGTAAACTTATGTACTTGCTGCACAGTTAGTGTAAACTTATGTACTTGCTGGTAAGTGTTGTAAACTTAGGTACTTGCTGGTAAGTGTTGTAAACTTAGGTACTTGCTGCGCGACTGTATCTAACTTAGTGCAGACACATTACCTGGGTTACAGAACTATGCTACTTAGCTGTACCCTTCAATAGGAGTACCTAGAGGCCGGAGAAACGCTCATTATCCAGGGAATTGAAACAACCCTCCGCTTCCTTGGATCAAGCAAAATTACCTCCCATTACAAAAGCGATGAATGATCCCAACGGGTTTAGCGCTTTCCTTAAATATGATAATAATAATCATTGTCATCTGCAAATGTTTAGCTTATTACACAGGCACATGCCTTTAGGTCCTTGTCTTCAATTATTACATTAATGGGAGAGCGATTAACCCGCAGGGGTCATACAGCGCCAGGGGGATTGGGAGGTAATCTGTTTCGATCCAAGGAATGGGAAGTCAGATTAAATTCCCTGGATCAAGAGCCCCTCACCGGCATCAAGGCACCTTGAAAGGATTCGCTAGCTACATATCTATATAAAATTTATAACTTGGCAAACTCTCATAGCACTAGTTGTAGATCCTTCCTCGGATCAAACTTGATTACCTCCCCTTCCTCAGGTGCTGTATGATCCCGCAATGGGTTTAGGGTTACCCCATTAATATGATAATAATTACTGTACTTTTGACCTATCCCAATGATGGTCCTAGCTGGTCCAGTGGCTAACGCGACGGTCTGGAGTTTCGAGACTCTCTGATCGTGGGTTCTATCCCCACCGTGGTATAGTTTAATGATAAGTCTGTGTGATTACAGACTTCAATAGTGAGAGATATTGCCATTGAAAAAATGACAAGGGCAAAATTACTATTATGTTGAAACGTTAAACCCGCAAGAATCATACCGCTTAGAGAATGGGAGATTACTAGGTTTAATTTCTTACATATACATCCCTTCACTAACATCAGGGCTCAGCCTCAACTTCGAAGTAATGAAATGCACAAAAAAACTCAGAAAATGTGTATATGCTATCATGTGATTTGTCAGGCAGTTATATAAGAGTACCGCAATAAATAACAAAAAGACACAATACCTTGACTGGAACAATACACAAATATAACTAACACATAGGAGAGAGGAGCTTATGACGATCTTTAGCCCGACTTGGACCACTGTGCGGGTTATTTGTGTAACCCAGTAAATTAAACATATGGGAACAATAAGTTATAAAAATCACATTTTTTCATCGGAATGAGGAGGTACATAAAACAATCCCAAGAACTTTCATACATACGGGGAATTTCTTTATTTAACTGCATCGGGCATTGTGTAAATATAAGATAAAATATTATATGTTAAAAAAATACATTGTTTTGATTGAAATACAGTAGAGAGTGTTTTGTTCAAGGTTGCAGTATATCAATTTATACATTAAAGAAAATGTGGCTAAATAGGCCAGTAACAGAGAGAGGAGGAGGGGGGGGGGGGAAGGGAGGCAATCAAAATGAAAGTATGAGATATTGACGGTTGTAGTAGTTCCCACGACAGGTCTGGTCGGTCTCTGACCTCTGTACATAGCATAGCAACTCTATAATATACTGGAAGAAACAACTTTCTAATTATAATAATGTTGGTAGAATTACCAACAATGTGTTAAGTAAATGGACACGTGTGTGAGCGAAACGTTGCCACAATAAAATGTTGCATTAGTTGCAATTGTGTCCTTGTACCTGTCTAATTGTGCAAATTTTTATAATTTTCTTCATTCAAAAATTTAAATCTGTAGGAGTTGTATTATACATCGCAGTCAGGTTTGATGCACGGAATCAGAGATCTCAAGTTCCTTGGATCAAGAACCCATCATCCAGGTATTTTCTCAATGCATATTACTTAGAGAAATAACTTTTATATTTTACAGTAATATAAATTTTTAATTGATTTTAAATATCTCTCTGAATCTAAAATTTACAACAGGTAAAAAGCTGAAAAAAAAATGTGTAGACATTACCTAGGTTAATACCATATAAGTCATTGTTAACAAATTTCTCTTTTTATTTGTAATAAGCATATGCATATATATATATATATATATATATATATATATATATATATATATATATATATATATATATATATATATATTATATATATATATATATATATATATATATGAAATATCACCTACTATATGGATGGACTATCTCAGATAAATATATAAAGTACCTCTAGGGAAACTCAGGTTCTCCCAGGAATGTGAATAATTCTTCTCAACTCAACCCCGACATTTATATTTCTTCCCCCCTTATGTGAACGTTTAATAATAAACAGAATAATTATATATATATATATATATATATATATATATATTATATATATATATATATATATATATATATATATATATATATATATGTCGTGCCGAATAGGCAGAACTTGCGATCTTGGCTTAAATAGCAACGCTCATCTTGCATTGACACCATGCCTAACCCTTCTAGGGTAGGGT